CAATATATATATATATATATATATTGTCTTTGTTTGATTGTGTTACCTTATTTCTTTCTATAAAAATAAACAAAACCAACCATTTATGTACACTTTAATAGCATTATTTAAAACTGGAAGATGTTGTAATTACATTCTTTGAAAAATTCGTGTAGCTTCATCATACACCACAAAACACTAGTTCAAGTATAGTAAGATTGCTTCAGTTTGAAACACAAAAAATACAAAAGTAAATTGTTCATATTTTACTTTATTAGGTAGTAAAATGAATTTAATTGTAACTCAAACTTTATTACAAAATTCAGCATATGTATTGGTGAATATGTACAATATCATTAGCGAGCATTCTTTAGTAGTGTTTATAGGCTAGTTTATAACAACCTTACAATCCTATCATCTGAAGTTCTATTTTTCATCAAAATATTTGAAAACTAGATTTAGACTTAGAATAAAAAAGTGAATTCAATACAGTTGTTTCTGTTATATTTTACAATTCTTAAAAATATAAGTAATTATTTTAATCCTAATATTCCTCATTTATTTGATTTTTAAAATGCTTAAAAACTTAATAGAACATTTTATATTTTAAATATATGATATTTTTTAACAACTTGATTATAAAAAATAAGAGGATTATTCAAATTTTGTATACAATAATTTAAATTTTTCGAAACTGATAATTGAATTCATATATTAATAAAAACAGTACTTAGCATACATTACTTAAAAAAAATTTCAATAATGAAACGATGGTATTATTGGTAGAATTTCCATAAAAATAATCTAAAAAAATTTTCCATCTTCCTATGATTTAAAATTTTAATTTAAATTAATCAGTCAATTTATGTAAATTAATAATATATATATTCAAGTTCATAGTTAGGAATTTCAACCTACATTTAAGACGTTAAATTTAAAAAGATCGAATCATGACATTTCTCTCTGTAAGAAAATGCAAAACATATGAAAGAAAAATTATCCATTTTTAGTTGTACTAAAAAGGAGTACTAGATCTAGAAGTACTAGATCAATAGAATTTGTTAATTTTATTGTCTATTGTTTTTATTCAGTGTTTTAGGCAAATGTTTGCAATAAAGATTTGCCACACTATTCTCTAATATTTTAAAAAAAGTAACAAAGTTCCATTATAGAAGAATTACTTTAAAACTGTGGTTATAGTAACTTATCAAATTCAGTTATAATGCGAAAAATAGTAATAATAATTGTAAATCTGCAATTCATACATTTAATAGGATTGCTTGTAAAGATTAAAACTATTCAGTTTAAAGTGTTGTATTTTTTATTATTTTATTCATATTTAGGACAAAAGACTGTCATTAAACAAATAAAAAAGTAAGGTTTTTCGTTCGTGCAATAAAAATAAAGTCTTAATATTTATTTCTTAAGAATAAAATTAAATCCAAACTATTAAATTTCATTTTCTTTTTAGCCTTTATTTACGAATAATTTACCTGATTTAAAACAAATATATGAATTAGCAATCTAAAAAAAGTATGCACATCTTTGATGTTAATGAAATTTATAATTCTTTACTTTTGTAATTAAAAAATCCTAAATTCAAATGTAACAATTGCATTATATTTCAAATACCTGGTGAGCGAAAGTTGTAAATTCCGCCACTTATTGTAAGATTTTTTTGAAGATTCTTCTCTTCCAACTAATATCTCCTCGAATCACAAGGCACAGCTTAGTAGATATATCACATTTGCTTCCAGTATTATTAAAGAATATACAATTACATAATAATATGTATACATATTAATATTACAGATTTAAGTATAACTACATTTCAATTAATTTACAAAATGGAAAACAAAATATGTAAATATCTTTCTAACGCATCTGCTCTTGTTGGTTCCCTTGCCTCAAAAATAACAAAAGTCATGGCAATTTTTTGATTATTAATATAATTTATAATGAAAGAACTACAAATTTTTGGCCAAAATTACGATTCAAGTTTATTAAGAAAAGAACCCTCACCATGTTAATTTATTTAGATAGTAATTACGTTACCATTACTCGAATAAAATTTGACTTAACACAATAGATTTAGTAATTTAATCTGATAAATACTACCTAATATCCCAATCCCCCAAAAAACATACACACAAATTGTCTGTTAATGTATGTTCATTTGGGGGAAAAATTTTGTTTTAAATTTATTGATTGATTTTATATGAATATAATTAATTATAGTTAATATTAATTTATTATAATAAATATTAATTTTTATAATAATTATATTTTATATCAAAACATTATAATTAATTAAAATTAATTTTAAATTAATTATAGTTAATATTAATTTATTATATTAAATATTAAGTTTTATAATAATTATATTTTATATCAAAGCATTATAATTAATTATAATTAATTTCAAATTAATTATAGTTAATATTAAAAATATTATAATTAATGTTAAAATAATTATAAATAATATTAAAATAATAATGACTAGTATTGTTCATAAATACATTTATTATTCTTAACCTCGTTAATAAATTGGAGTAACTGGATCATTAATTGAACCAAGGCTAATTTATTTTCTGTTTGTGACAGTGTAAAACACTTCTTTCCTATCAAAGAAATGATGATCAGGTATCAGTAAAATGGCAAAAAATGTTAAGTCAGAATTAAACAAGGCGTTTTCATTCAGAAGTGGAATTTGTTTAACAGGATTTGGTTCATCGACATATCTCGCAATAAAAGTGAAAGAATACTTTGTAATATCGGATGATTGGGCCAGCAACTTACAAATGTATTTTATAGTTATGAGGTGTCTGAATTAAGAACAAAATTGGATTGCAGAGGGAGAAATAGGCTTACTCATTCATTGATTCTAATATGATATAAAAATGGTATGATGAAACAAATCTGTTAGAAGCTATGTCAAAATGAGTAAAGCTAATTTTGAAAAGAAAAGAACGATATTGATTATTAGTTAAGTAAAATTTTTTATATTATTACCTATATAAATTTTTTTATATTATTACCTTTTTGCTTCTTTAAAATATGTGTATAACTCAATTTATACGTGTCTACTCGTTCATTTAGTTGTAACATGTTAGTAACATTAAGTATTCTTCCTAGGAAAAGAAAATAAAGAAAAGAAAGAAATAGTCAAATTATTATTTTTTTAAATAAGATTTACATAAGAGTAAGCAAAAGTAAATTGAAAGATCTTTAAAATTTTTCCTTGAGTTATAAGACTCCGGTGGATTAAATCATTTGTTCTTAGAAGTGTAAAAAAATGTAGAGAAAGGGTTCAGTTTTTTAAGTTAATCTTCTTCATCTTTTTTAAGAGCCTGTCGTAGTTTTATCATTATTTTTATTTATTTGAGCTTTATTTCAGGCATTTTGAGTAATAAATGGAAAGAAAAAACTTTAAAAGATCTAGACATCTCTTTCTGTACACTTTCACGATGAAATTTATTTTTGATATTAGTTACAGTCTAACGTTTTTACAGCCGACGTATTTCACGGACTAATTTGATTATATAATTAAATATTACTTAATTAATTAATTAATAATTTGATTAATTATTGAAAAATAAATTAATTAAAAATTATTATGAACAACTATTGTGAACTTTTCTGATTCATTTGGTCTCATATAAACATGTGTAAGCTATTCTGAATGAAAATAAAAAGTAGGTATATTTTAGACTTATAAAAATGTATATAATACGTTTGATGAATGACCTGAGACTCAGACATTTATCAAGAAAAAAATTAAAGGCCTAAAATAAATTCTCATGAAAGTAATTTTTTGAGAAAAAAAATAATTAAACTAAATATTATTTAGAGATACTAACGATAAATAGAAAATTTAAAAAAAAAATGGGTTATAGAAATTCAACGAAGAGAAATTTATTTTTTATCCTGAAAAAAAAACTTTGATTTCTGAGCAATTTTTAACAGCTGGAAGCCAAATGTGACTTAAATCTATCTCTTTGAACAACACATCATCTTCTTTAAAATTCTGTCAATTATACTTTCTCTTCACTTGGTTCTAAGGAACCCTTGAATTGAAACAAATGAAATGTCTTTCAATTCGAATGACAATTGATCAAAATTGTCAAATTCATCTTGGAGCTCTTCATTGATTTATAAGACTGTACATCACACTGGCGTTGAGATTGTTGTTCTCCTGCCTCGAGGGGGTGTATACACCTCCTGAAAAAAGATTAAAAACAGTTTTTCGAAAAGATTAAAAATAGTTAAAAATAGAAATGTGCAATTTTTAAAATACATATTTAATGCTAATTGAACTAAATTATTTATTTTACCGCTGCTAAATACAGTCAGAAAAAATAAACATGTTATAAATATAAAAAAAAAGACTTCATGCATTGTAACCAACAATTTTGCAAAATTCAATAGTTGCTGTTTTTTAATTACATGCTTTTTCGAAACAAATATGCTTAATTGTTTTGCTGATAAAATATCGTTGGAACATAATTTCAAATTAGACTTTAAGAAACCATAACATTTGAGATACAACTCTTCAAATTTACGAAATATTTCCAATATTTATCATTAAAATATTTTTTTTCTAATTTACATCGAATAAAATCCCTCTTTACTATAAAAGTTCAATTCCAAGAAAACTGTAGCAAATAGTACATTTAAGTATATACAAGTATGTATGTATTTATATAAATATATATTTGCTTTAAAGTTAAAATAGAAGATAGCTCAACAAGTTTCGATCACTGAAACACAGCTCTTTCAGACAGGAGGACATGAATAATGAAAGTAAAAACACTTAAAGTAAATGATATTTTCTAATAAATGATTTCAGTTTTGCCCTAAACCTACTTAGCGCATCGGAATACACTTTGCCCCTGTTTATCTTGTTCTGCCACCATTGTCTTTTCAGGAACCGTGCTTTCTCTTGACTATTTCACATTTCCTTTTTTTTATTTTATTGAAAACTGTGACTGTTCTTCTTTATTATTACATATTCTTATATAATTTTCGTTTAAACGTGTTTCCTTCTTTTTAAAATATGTTGTACGTCTGGCATGGAGCCCGTGTTCGATTACTCGAAACATCTTCCAGTTTAACTAAGCAGCAAATAGAGTATTTTTGTTTAATTTTCAAGTAATACAAATTGTTTTTAAAAGCTAGAACTAGTGTTTAGTTAAAATGGCATAACACATTTTTAAATTTTAAATTTTATACCGTTAATGTTTCTTGCAATGTTTTAACTTCATAACAAATTTTTTTTAAACTTTAGATCAAAAATTATTATTCAGTGAAACAGTGAAAAATAAACTCTAAAAAATAAAAAAAATATTTACTCTTTAGTTAAGTAGAAAACGAAGAAAAAAAACATGCAAGACATCATATGAATATATTTTCATATAAAGTTGCGAAAATTGTGCAAAATCAAAATTTGTATGAACTTTATAAAAGAAAAAAAACATTATTTATCTGAAACTGACCTGTAAAGAGTCTTTCACTGGCAACTCATGGAAATTCCGTTTCAATATAATACTGAAAATATATTCAAATGATGGAAAAATAATTAGAATAAGTTAAAAATTTGTAAATTTTTTTTAATCAAAATTTGGTGCAGAAATCATTAGAAGCTTTAAAAAATCAAAAACTGAGCCAAAATAAGAGAAATAAAAAAAAACTGCTTAAAGTAGCGAAGCAAAATTTGTTAAAACAACCTTAACATAGAAAAACATTTCAAATAAATTTACAATTCTGTGTATTTGATTGAAAAAAATTAAACTAAAAAACAGCTAATGACAATAGCTATAGAGTTTGCGAGAATAAGAAAAATAGGTTTTGGTTAATTATAAGTTTCTCATTTTAAATACTTAAAGTTAAAAAATTATAACGTACTGATGCATAGGTTTTCAAATATTATAAATTAGAGATATTTAAAGGATTTTTAGGTATTGGAAAGTAAAATCTAGTAAACGGATCTAAGATATAAGTAATCATAAACGACATTAAATTATGTCGCATATTTTTATCAAGTGATCAATTAAACTCAAGTTTTTTTTTAACAGGTGTATGTATAAACTGGATATATTCATTTTTATTTTTATTTTTATTTTCACTGATTGAAACAGATCAGAGATATACACTTTCTATATAAGTATTATAAACAAATTAGTCTGTCAGAAGCTTATACACTCAAAACTCTATAATTCTATATTCTATTTAGGTAATTTCTAAGCCTAATCACCAAATATTTTCTTCCTATGACTCTAAAAATCTAATTTAATTGGAAGCCAATGACTCAAGAACTTTAAGAATATCCAAAACATCTCAAATTGAACTTATTAAAACTTAAATAAAATGCTAGAGCGAAAAGGGTTTTAAAAGAATTGACACATCATGAAACTTTTTCAGTACTGCAGGGTCCACTGTGGACCATAAAAAATACAAGAATTTAAATTAAATGCGCAGAGTGCAAATGATATATAGGATTAAAGTTTGTTATATTAAAAGAAATATCATTTGCGAATATTCAAAATACGATTAAAATAGGTTTCCCATTTTAAATGAAAAATATTTGCTCACTCCACCTGAATTTGAGAGAGGAAAATTCTGAATCCGCTTTGATAAAATTTATGTTGAACTTTTAACATAGTTTGTGAACGCGATTTTATCCAGTAGTAGACAATATGTCTTATCTAATGTATATTTATTTTATGTAATCATAAAAAAATTGAGTGATTCATGAAATAGTTTTTTTTTGCATTTTTTATCACGTATGTATTTACATTTTCTCGTGATGGACATAAAAAACGGACTTTATTACATGAGTACCGAATTCAATTGGTGTTTAAAATTCATTGGCCTGTAAATCTTTTTTTCAGAGATCTGGATATTAAAATTAGTAAAAAAATTGATAGTTTTCATTTTTATTTACTATTGCAATAAAATTAATAATGTCACATTATTATTATTTAATATAATGCACAAAATATAAAAAAGGAGAGAGCTATATTTTCATGTTTAAAATGTACTAGAGAGCACAATGTACGACCATTAAATGTGCGACCATTATTTCATATGTACTAGAGAGCTAAGTCCCCTGTTTGCTGTCAATCAACAATCTCACTTCACAATCATTGTTGTTTCTTAGCATAAAACATTTTTTTTAACGCAATCTGAAATTAATCACTTATATATGTACTATAAAGAATTCTGGTTACTTTCGCTCGTACCTCTACGTCACATATTCAAATTCGTTTTTCTTTAAATTAAATGCCTATTTTCTATCCTTAGAGGTTTTTTTAAACTTTATGCTGACGGCAACAAAAAAACGGAGAAAACTAGATCCTACCATATAAATAGAAAGGTACAAACAGCAGAGGAAAACTGAGACACCATCTTTAAATTTTTATATATAGTTTAAAACTTGGTGACAACTGTTGTTACGCTGCCATGCTAGCAAGAACCCTAAATATTCATAAAATAAACATTCAATTTTTCTTAACCATGCCTTTGGAAGCACTTTCGCCAAGGAGAACAAAAAAAGCCGCAACCTAATGCCTTACACTTGAGGTAAAGCTGTGTTTCCAAAATATACATAGAAAAGAACATACGCAAAGAATTTTTTTGGTTTACATCGGACGAATAAAGACTATTTTAAAAGTTTTTAAACTTTTTAAAAATCACCAATTTGACTAGATTTTTCCACCTAAATGAAAATTATCAAAAGCAGTGAATAATTTTCAAGTCTTGTAAATTGTTAGATAAGTCCAGGTATACAAGGAAACTATTTAAGATCACACACGCTTTTTATTTCGATAAAATTTTGGCTACTCTTTATATTGATGTTCTGCATCATTTTCGAAATTGACGTTGAGCACGCTGGCTAAAGATAAGTAAAAATTGACCTTACAATTATAGATAATTGTTGCAAACCTATAATAGGTATGGGAATAGCAAATTATTCTCAATAAAGCGTTATTTAATTTGTCGGTATCGCTTTCGAAAAAAAAAATTTCACAAAATTAGGAACCGGGTGTGTGGCAACTTTTAACAGCCTGTGTAGAGACAGAGAGCGCGTGTTATCAGTTCCCGTTAAACTGCTCTATCATAAAGTGCACAGAATCACGTGCAGGTAGTTCGGCAACCAAAAGCCACCCTCTGCAGTGGATCAAAAATATGATATGTGTTCAGATCATCCTCAATGATGATTCCCAGACAGTTACAAATAGTCCAGTGTGCAGCTCTAGGGGGACGTAAATAGACTATAACAACAACAAAATTATAATTGATATTTGAAGTTGTTTGATAGAATAATAAACGATAGGAGGTTGATCCTTTAATCAAATTTTGTCCCTATTGTAATTTATAAAATTGACTGTAAGTAATCGATATCAAAGTATCCAGCTCAAAAATCAGGCGAGATTATAATCTTTCAAAGACCACTTGCTGAAATTTTAAAAAAGTACGTTTTTCTGATGATTCTAAACTCAATTTATTGGGAAGTGACGCAAGAATTACATCCGTTGTCCGAAATGAACAAAAAATAGTACTGAATATCAAATCTTACTGACAACGACCCAAAATACACACCCTTTCCCCCTCAGAATTTTTATTAATAATATTTTTAATACTTTTTTTTCGTTATTTTGCATTAATTTAGTTCAAAATGAGGACAGCATTTTATATTTAGAATTTTAATAATTTTTGGTTACGAAATAAAGAATGAAACGCTGATGTTTTTTTCTGCGTTAAAAGTAAAAACTTTCAAACACGGTTCACTTTCAAACAATAATGTTTTCAAATTTGCACTTATTTGCAATTATTTAGATCAATAAAAATTTATTAAATTTGAAGAAATAGTTATTGTTTAATGAAATTTTATTTTCATTTAAATTTTGATAGATACATTGACATATGGAAATATTTCATCACTTTTAGAGTCATTTGTTTACAAATATTAACAGAATTATACATTATCTATAAACTAATTAAAACTAACTTAATTAAAACTAAACTGGTCAGAAACTTTTACATGTCATGGTTTTTAGAATTTCTATATATAATTTAATTTATTCATGAATCAACAAAAAATTTATTTTAATCTAAATAGTTTCCTTTTTATTTCATGCTTTTGCTTTAATATTAAAATCAAATGTTTTTAAAATAAATATTTCGTTAAATGGTCTATTATCCGCTTAATCTGTTATCCGCATTGTATAATGTATAGGGATTGATGATTATTTTATCAAAAATATCGTTACACTTCATAACAGATAACTTTCTTCGCAATTTATTATGATTTTGTTTCTTTCTAGTTTCCTTAAGAGTTATATAGAAAATATTCTATTCTACTATTTTATGTGTTAAATTGAAATTGATCGTGATTAAAAAAATCTTGAGTTTTCGTAATGTAATTATGCGTTTCATAAGTTTAAAAAAATATGCTTTTGTTGGCTTAATATTGAACTCATGCTCTTACCCTATTTCCATGGAAATTAGGATTGTGCACTGCAGTTCTACCTCTCGGTAGCGTCTTATTTCGCATACCATCTTCCTCTTGTTGCTCAGGATGTGGCATGACGCCTGCCATCATTCCTACTGGTGGACGCCTATGATAGTCCAAAGTAGCAAAGGGCACAGCGCTGGCATCGTATTGGCAAAGGTTGGAAGCAACAACTGGTTGATTAGGGCAAAAATCAATGTAAGCTTCTTGTCGGTGCTGTTAATAAGAGAAAAAAAAACAATTTGAAAATGCAGTTCTTTGTATTCCTTTTATTTAATACATCTGTTATATTTAATAACATGTACTGTATAAAATACTTATTTATTTCCAATTTAATCAATTTCAGAGAGTATTAATGTAGTTTACATACCAGATTTTAAATAACTTTTTTGTAAGGCTGAGAAAAAGTATTAGTTCAATAATGTAATTATTAATTTTTGTACATTCAACAGTTAGTTTTGTAAATAATATTATGTTTTCATTTCTGTATTTAATCTGAATTTTAGGGCTTAATAGTTTTTTTGGCATTTTCACTGATATTTATTTTTTTATAAGTACTGTTGAGCAGCAGACCCAATTTTCAGTTTACGACTATCAAAGTTCAACTCCATAGCCTTGAAATTTTAAGCCCTAACCAGAAGACAATAATAGCCTTTGTCGTTTAAATTAAACTAACCTTCATTTGCGTTACACGGAGAGCAAAACCACAGAAACCACCCAAAACCTGGTTTGACTGCAAGAGGATTCTAGCCCATGATTTGTCTACTATTGAGGATATTTCACAGCAGCATTATGATCACTACGAGGCAGGTGAAGAGTTCATATAAATTAGATCAAATGCAGATATGATCTTCAAAGAGAACAAAAATATTCTAGCTATTTTCTTCAGTATATCCAAATGATTTCAGAGCCTTTAATTACGTAAAATGTCATTTAAAACTTCCGACTGGATAAATTATAGTCAATGATATTTTGTGGGTTCATTAATAACAAATATCACTTTGTTTATAGATTTTAATTCGCACTTTATATAAATAAATGTATAACGGAGCACAAAACTTAAATTAATTTTAAGAAACTAAAGAAAATTTGTAGATTCTCTTTTCTAAATTTACCGAATCATATACAATTGAAATATTACTTAAATGAACTGAATTATAAAAGGAATTAACAGTTACGTATCACCAATTAAGAGTATTTGGCATTTTTTATTATGTTGTTGTTGTTTCTAATGACACTTGATAATTACCCAGCAAGCCTGCTCGGTGAAACCAAGTGAATTTAAGGCAAAAGAAGCTATTCTTGCTTTTCAATGTCGCCATCTATGGCTTTAAATTCGACTTCAGCCACACAAACGTAGTAGCCCGTTTTTAAAGAGCGGCCTCATTCATACATTCATTCATTCATCCACAGATCGCAATTTTTACCTAAACCAAATAATGAACAATCTGAAATTCAGTACCTCCAGAGGTATTGATTTGTTATGCAAGCATTGAGGACTTTTTGACAGCTTTAACATGCACCAGTCTCAATGTACTATACGGGGAGTCTTTGTCCGGCGGGGATCAAACTCACGATCTTTCGGACATGAACCCAACACCCTACCAACCAGGCTATCACTGCCCATTTATATTATTCTAATATTGTTTAGATTTAATCTAATTTCTTAAGATCTTTACTTCAATGATAGCTAAAGAATGCTAATATTTATTTAAAAGTTTTTTTAAAAAATTGTTTTTAGAATAATGTGAAATTATATTTAAACACAGGATCATTAACTGAAATTTATACCTTCGGGTTTCTCTGAAGGCTACCCGTGTAACCGGATTCATAAAGTGGATTTTTTTGTGGCACCTGATCAAACGTCATCTCCTGAACTGCTTCTATTCTATAGTTTGTGTGTTCTTCCGGACCAATGTATTCTGTAAAAAAGAAATTCTTACTTACGACGTATATTCTGAAACAATTCTTTACATAACTTATACATACTGCCAAATAAATAAATAACATGAGTTGTGAAGTTCGTTTTGTTAAAAAAACAAGCTTTCTTCTCAAATGTCATAAATGTACGAGCATCCATACATGCTTTCAATCTTATAAAACAATTCCAAGTATTACGCAGTAAATAGTTTTACTTTGAAGAGTTCGTAGTCTTCCATGAATTGATTCATTACTTGTTGAACATGATAAAGGGTAAAAGTTATGGTAATTAAAAAAATATTTATGAAAACATATGTGAAAAAAGGCAAAATAAAAACTTAAAGAAATATTGCCAGGAAAACAATCATTAGATATACTAGCAATAATGATTCCTCTAGGTATTGATTATTTGAACATTAGTTTTTTCGTATATTGCATTTAATTTTCTCACCAACAGAATATAAAAATTCAGCTTTTTTTTTGAAAAAAAACTAAGAACTAGTTATTTTTTTTTTACCATTGGGAGGCAAAAGCATGTTTGGTATTCCACCACCTTGTTCCATTTCTGCACAATAAGCATTTTGAGGAGGAATCACGTCAGGATCTTTGCCATCATGTTCTGAGGGATCAACTAGATTCTTTTTCAGTAGAATCTCATCTCTAAAAACATAAAACAAATTCTTTACTTAAAATTACTCAAGCTTTTAAAAGGAATTAAAATAGAACATTAACTGCAGTGCATGCAGTTTGCAAAGAAAATATATGTTACAGTATAATAAAGATTTCTAAATTCTCAAATAATAGCAATACATTTTTCATTAAGGTATTTATGTTTCGTTTTAATTTATTTTTACATTTTCTTCACTGTCATGCTTATTTTATTAACTAAATTATCATTGCGATAAATATAGAAAACCAAACTTAAACTAACAAAGATATAACCGAGCATTAAACTTAATGAACTTATATGCAAATTCTATCACGTAGAGTACGCCAAAAAACGGTCCGCTCTGAGCAAATTTTGATTTAAGGATCTGATCTTTATGTTTTTCGAGTCTTTCTTAATGGTTCGAGGAAATTAACTCAAATAGGCTAATTCACTCTTGCAGACGATATTTTAAGTTGCGAAATCAGATAAAAAAACGTACGTTTTCCATTATTTTATTAAGTAGCAGTCGAAGAAATTTTGTATTGCAAGGTATAAAATTTTTAGCACAGTTTTTAAATCATGTTTTACTTGCAAAATACAAAATTTGAGCTAAATCAGTTGAATAATTTCTGAGAAATCTAATTTTAATTAGTCGTACACTTAAAATTCGATTTCTCAGAAACTATTCAACTGAATTCTCTCAAATGTTTCATTTTGCCAAGTATTCTTTAAAATGACATATATTAAGTTGTATACCTTGCAATTAAAAAAAATTGCATATTATTACTAAATAAATTAATTAGTTAATCCCATCAAAAAGTTTTCCAAGAAAAAATTTCGCCTAATACTTGATAATGGAATTCCGTTGTTTCCTGGATTGGGTTCAAAATTACAGGATGACGGCCTTGAACTTTAGAATACGTGAACCCAATATTGTTTAGGCTGTTCAACGTTGGTTACAAAATGAAATCGGTTGTAAAATCATGTTACCCAATTGAAAAAGAGAGAAATTTTTTTTAAAGATTAAATTTGATCATCCGTTAGAGAAGTTTGAAAAATTATCTTTTTTCATAGGTTCATCATTGGCCTTTGTACACCAAAAACAATAGACTATTTTATTTCTTCAATTATTTCAAAGCTAATAGTGATTTATGTTAACGTATAACTATAATCATTTAGAAAGGATCTTATGAAATGTTATTTTTTTGTTAAAATTCAATTTTTTTTTCGGTATGTCCCATAGGCTCAATTGTTGAGGTGAACATGGTAGCATATGCGGATTAGGTCACCAAATTGGCATTTGAGAAGTTATCAGAAATCAAGTGAGTCAATTTAGTTTATAACTAAGTTTTTGAAACACCAATTTAAAAAATTTAAAAGTAGATTAAAAATCTGAGCGCTAGTCCCAGTTATTTCTGAACTTTCAGCTGAAAGCTTTTCTGAATCAAGAAACTGGTGAACTTAACGTTATTTAATATGAGAGTAGGTTGTCAGAAAAATTTCTGTACAATTTTACCCAGGGGTTCAACTCTTATAGGGTTAAAATGAAGAAAAAATTAGAATAATGAAAAAAATGAAAAAAGAAATCGTGATAAATGGATCTTATGCAATAAAAAATACTAATTTACCATTAGAACTTCTGATGGTTTTTGCGCATTTTAGGAAAGTTAAGATTGTTGATTCAGATGTTTTAAATAAATAAAATTCATTCTTCAAATGGTTTTTTAAACAAATGAACAAAACCCAAAAATCACTAAAAATAACCAAAAAATTTATAATTTAAATTTTCAAAAATTAATGAAATTCAAAAACAATATTTCTTCACAAATTTTTAGTTTTCAAGTCAAATACTTGCGAAATTATTTTCTAAGTGAAAATAAATTAGTTGTATTTAACAAAAAACTATCTAACAACAAATAACTATGTAACAACAACAAATTATGTAACAACAAACATAAACAAACTAGTGTTCTACAAAATATATAAAACTAATTTCTCGTTTAAGTTTGAAATAAAAACATGTAGAGAAAGGCTACATTATTTAAATCATTTTTTGAATAATCATGGACAAAATTTATAATAAAATTCATGCCAAATATTTATTATTGCAGGTAATTATTGTCAATAAAAATAATTATAGTCAATGCTGAAACTAAACGAAGAATTATAATCTTTAATATATGAACAATTAAGGGAATCGAATTTTTTTATTCCCTAATAAAGTAATGTCTTGATCTAAGAATGTCTTGAATCAAACGAGAAGAAACAGAATACTTCCACATTATATAGCAGCAATCTATTGTTTTAAAGTTTAATATCTATGTGAATTACGAATAATTACATCGAAATAAATAAACATGAAATACTTTTGAATCCTCAAATATTAAAATATTTATGAATATTAATATTGTGAAAATTGCAGATTATTACATTGAAATAAATAAACATGAAGTATGTTAGATTTCCTCAAATGTTATTTTATTTTTAAATATTAATATTATGAATATTATATATTAAATAAGACTCCAATAAAAAAAATAATTATAATGAGCGATGCTATTCTAATATTAATAAAGCATATTCAAGATCAAAATTTCGTCCAAGAAATTTATTTCCTTGCCCAAATGTTGTGAGAGAAACATTTTATTCTGAATCAAAAGCAAGTTTATTTCTTGACATTCAAACGGAATTTGACATTCGAAATGTTTCATGAATTTTCTCGAAGATAAAGGACGTGTTGTGATAAGAGACAGATTTTGCTTTAAAATAATTGGGTCTTTGAGAAATATTAATATTGTATTTTGAATCAAATCCAATTTATCCTTTCTTGTTTGATTTCGTATACATGTCTGGGAGTTCCTCAGAAACAAATTTCATTTTAAAATGAAATAAATAAAGGGAATTCGTGAATATTTTTTGAAATAAATTAGAAATGCACATAAGCAAACGCTATATTTCGCAACAGTTTTAAATTCACATTCTGTAACATTTATTTCTATGTATTTAACCGTAAAATAAAATAATAATGTTAATATATAATATTGAATATTATTCGTTGCATTTTGAAACACATTTGAAATCAAATGTAATGTTGACAAATGTATTTATCACACTAACTGTGTGCTCAAATCGTTAAGGTTATTCGGGTAAAATAAAGTGAAAAAAAATATTCAGTTTTTTAATACATATTCACTACATTGAACTCCATGAATGATCACGAATGTCTAGGATTAAATCAATTTTATTCATTAATTTCATTTCCGGAGGGATAAAAAGTATAAAATGCTTTCAATTTGATCATGGCAATTTAAGCTTATCAAAAATTTCACCATACAAACTGATATTACCATCTAAAGTGAATTTGCTTCTATTTTAATACTACTACTTTTGTTTTGATGTTTTGTTTGAAATTTTAATGTACAAAATATAGTTTGTTCTAATAAACTTGTTTCTATTATTTCTTTAAGTAGTATTATAAAAACATTTTACTTAAAAAGTTCCTTTGCAATTTAATTAGTTATGTAAAATAAATATTGGAAAATAAATTGTAATAAGATAATCAGTTGTAAAATATTACCTATATTAAGTTTATCCGAATGAAAAGTGGATATACATGAATGCATCAAAAATACAGAAGCGAGAGCAGCGTCAATATTAGCAAGAGAAGCACCTTAGTTTAAGGTAAAAGAAAAATACTTTCGATTATGCATAACTGAATAATTAATTCACACGTGAGCAATTAACAAGCTGAACGTAAAGTTGAGTTGTTGATTGCTCATACAGAAGCGAGAGCAGCATCGCCATTAGCGAGAAAGGCACCTTAGTTCGAGATACGAGAAAACACTTCCAATTATGTATAACTGAGTAATTAATTCACACGTGAGCAATTAACAAGCTGAACGTAAAGTTGAGTTGTTAATTGCTCAGACAGAAGAAAGAGCAGCGTCACCATTAGCAAGAGAAGCACCTTAGTTTAAAGTTTAAAAAAAACAGTTCCGATTATGTATAATTGAATAATTAATTCACATGTGAGCAATTAACAAGCTGAGCGTAAAGTTGAGTTGAGTTGAATGTAAAGTCAAGCTAAACAAGAGGCATTTAAAACAGAAGAACAAAGGGGAATAGTACGATTTTTATAGACATAAAATGAGCGTAATTAATTATCAAATGTTTGCTATTTACTCTGAACATATTGTCATAGACAATTGATATCGAGCTGTTTATTAGTCTTCATGAAGAGTGTGCTTCTGATATAATTTTGGATCTTGGAAGACACAAAGAAAGAAAATTCCACGATCTCCTCCAGGAATACATACAGTGTTAAGACTTGTGGAAACTGAGCAACACTGTAATCTGACATGGATAAAGAAGTAATGCAATTTTGAAATGCATGTTTGAATAATTAATTCACACGTGAGCAATTAACAAGCTGAGCGTAAAGTTGAGTTGAGTTGAATGTAAAGTCAAGCTAAACAAGAGGCATTTAAAACAGAAGAACAAAGGGGAATAGTACGATTTTTATAGACATAAAATGAGCGTAATTAATTATCAAATGTTTGCTATTTACTCTGAACATATTGTCATAGACAATTGATATCGAGCTGTTTATTAGTCTTCATGAAGAGTGTGCTTCTGATATAATTTTTGATCTTGGAAGACACAAAGAAAGAAAATTCCACGATCTCCTCCAGGAATACATACAGTGTTAAGACTTGTGGAAACTGAGCAACACTGTAATCTGACATGGATAAAGAAGTCATGCAATCACCTTCTGCAACTAACATTCGCATTGTTTTCTAATAGTCTGCAACTGACATTCGCATTTATTTTGCATTGTTTTGTTATTAACGCATTCTTAACGCGACTTTACATTCACCCTAGCTACTCTATTGCGGACTGCTTAATTAATTAAACACAGTATGCGGTGCACTCCTTATCTTTCTTTATGACCTTGGCTAATCGTTACTGTAACGCTTTAGCGTGTGTTTGCTTTATTAATTATTACTATTAT